ACACCTTTCACATTTGCATATGTTTTCCTATGTTCTGTCACTATAAGAGATTAGAGTAGTACTAAAGTTTACACATTATATAGGCTACACTAACATGATGTTTAGGCAGTTCATTTAACTATTATACGTGAGGTACGTTTATTGGGAGATGGTTAATGAAAGTGTTCAAAAATGCAACATTAATTTCTTGACGACCTAGTATATATGGCAATCAAACAAAGTAACTTTTGAGATCTTGTGGTATTCAGGTACAATGGTATCCAAGAGATAAGTTTAAAGCATCAGGAAAATTCCCATTCTGTAAATGTTATGGAAGAAACAAATTGAACATGAAAAGTAAAGGTAAAAATAAACATGATGGAATAAATAAACAAGTCTTTATTAAGTAAAGAGTAATATTATTTACTGACTGGCTGGTTTATTATTTGATTGTATTCAAATGGCTGCTGAGGTTGGAGAGGTTTCTCATATGTCTGCACAGGACAGAGACAGGATAAAAGCAAGATCCAGAACTGAGTGGGTTTCCAACTTTTATATTTAGAGAAAAGCTTTGTGTGGTATCCCACAGACCATTAAGTTTATACATATTTCAACCACTAGTCTATGTATAGTTCTAGCCAGCCTAGGCCAGACTGTACAAGTTTCTTCATTACCTGTTTGAACAGGTGAACTAAAAGTCCATAAAGAAACATGTACACTTTAGATTGAGACTTAAAAACAAAGTTTGCAACATATAACCTTTGCCTCTGTGAAAGGAATATCACTTGTTTATGACGTTTTGACATCCAGTTAAGAAGAATGTCATTACTATGTGCAGAACACCTGCAGAGAAATTTAGAAAAACTGACTAAGTATACTTGGCTACATATATATTCTATATTATTTATAAAGGGAGATATTGTCAGTTATTTCAACTGTGACTGTCTTTTATATTTAATGATCACAGTACATATAAGCTGTTTTGTAAGTATAATAATATGTAGAAATAATAACAGGTTCAATTTAATTTGAACAGCAAATAAAAATTTAATTAATATAAAATTAAACAACATAGCTTTGTATGTTTGTTTTTGAATTTATGCAAAGCAACTCAAGGGCTATCTGCACTAGCTGTCCTTAATTTTGAAGCGATACACTAAAGACTTGTCAATACCATCCACCATCAACTCCTGGGCTACTCTTTTACCAACAAATAGTGGGATTTACTGTCACATTATAATGCCCCCACAGCTGAAAGTATGAGCATTTTTGGTGAGAGGATTCAAACTCTAGACCCACAGATTGTGAGTTGAGCACCCGAACCATTAAGTCATGCTAGGCTCGAACAAATCATTATTGAATAACTTTGAGGAGAATAAAAACATGCCTATTAAACTGCTAAACCAGTTTGTATCATTCTTCCTCAATACACATTAGCACTTATCACAAATAATATGACCGTTTTAAATATTTTGGTATTTATTTTTATACCTCTTAAACTATTAATGTAAATTTTGTTGTATGATTCTTCATCAATTTAAATTAGTAATTGTTAACCATGTTGTGTGTATTTTAGACCTTTAAACTTTATTTTACTTTCACATTAATTGTATTTTAACATTAATTAATCTGTTAGTTAATAAGAACTTCTGATCAGAAAGTACTTAGCTTTATAGATCAGTATATTTTTCTGTTTTACCATGTGATTTGTCTTATAGACTATTATCTCAATACTTACATTCAGACAATATACAGAGAGGTTTGTCAAAATGTGTAATTATGGAATCTAAGTTTGTTTTCTAAATTACAGGAAAATTCCTTGTCAGTATGATGGTCAGTTTTTGTTATAAGAGTTTCACATTATTATTTCATATTATTAATAAAACAAGAAAATTAATTTTTCAATTGAAATAAAATTCTGTGGCTAACAGATTTAATTTTTTTTTGAGTAAATTGTTAGTTTGTCATTAATGTAATACTGTTTCCAATATAAAATCATAATTGAAAATGCCGACTTAAAGTTAAAAAAAAAAAGAGACCCAACATTATATGTGAAAATGAAATATGTGGTTAAATATATTATTATTATTTTTATTAGGTGATGGAACACCATGCAATGACAATTTCAAGCTCACAGTTGTCATTCATTCCTAGAAATTTTGAGCCTCATGATGTCGTCTATCATATCACCAAACACTTAGCTCCTGGACAAGGAACACTTGAACATATAGATTATCTTGGTCAACCCATTGGTCAGTTCACTCAGGGTGATGTTGATGATATGAAGATTATATACCGACCTCCTGAAAGAGATATTGGTCCAAAGGAAGAGCTGTTTAGTTTTAAATTTTTTGGTAAATAAATATTCCGTAAACAACCTAGAGTATAACAATATAAGTCAAAAATTAAATAATAGATGTTTTGTAATTATAGCATAGAATTCTGTAATTCTATCTAATATCTAGAATTGATAATTGATAGAAGTGACATTATCAATTCTCATAGCAACTGCATAACAAGTATTTTTTTCTAGTAATATACTGCCAGTTATAATGAGTTTTTTTAGAATTCCAATAAATATTATCCACACAATTTTTTTCAGTATCTGACAGAAGAGGAAATAAGCTACTTCCTGAGCAAACCTTTGTAGTGAAGGTGATTCCAAAAGATAAAGAGCCTCCAAAATTTGCAAGACATAAGTTAGAGCTCAGAGTAAATCTGGGAGCTTTTGTCTTAATACCTCAGTCAGTTTTTTCTGTGAAGGATCCAGACACATCTCTGGAGAAATTAGAAGTGTCTTTGTCTAAAGAGCCTGAGCATGGAGTTTTTTTGAAACATATGGATGGAAAGAAAGTTCCTGTTTTAGAAGGTATACCAGTTTGTATCAGTAAAAGTGACGTACTAATATTATAACTTATAACACTTGTCAGATCCTTTTTGAGTTAATGATATAACATATAGGTATTAATGGATATTGTGAATATTAAAATTCTTTATTGATTATTGAAAATAGAATGTTATCTTTAATGGAATTATAATTCACAAACTTCACTTGATCATCTTTAAGACAATATATTGTTTTAGGTATTATCTGCTAAGCTATTATTAAAAGGTGATTATAGGCAATCACTAATCCCCTACTATAACTTTCTTGATAGGAGCTAGAGCTTATTATTTGCCATAATTTTAACAAGAACTGTTATGAAACAGGGTGTTTTTATTATGTGTTTGTACCTTTCTTTATGTGTAATTAATACTTTGACTGTCTCTTTTTAAGCTCTTTCCATACCTTATCCAAGATATATTTTTTATGATGTATCTTTTAAACTCGCACCTTTGATCCTTAACATGAGTCATAAAAACCTACACCAAGGAAATTGCCACTTGTCCTCATAAATCCTTTAGAAAGTTAACAAAACTGTGGTTACTTGTAGCTTCATTCTTGCTTATCAAGTAGTTATTTTGCTAGCTTATTGTTTATCTCCTGCTTGTCAAAGTCAAAAATCCATAAGGATATGCAGCATACTGTGGATGCTGCTATTCAGGTTGAATAGAATTTTAAGTCCTCTCTCTATTCTACTGACATTCCTCGTTCATTGAGATCTATTACTCAAAACTTTATTTGGATGTGTTCAACTGTCCTTTGAAACATCATTTTGGGTCGGAAGAAAAAGTTCATTTTTCTCTTATTGTATCATGTTTGTGTGGTCCTGAGGTATTATTACTGAGTATGCTATACATATGGAATATAATTATTGCAGGGACATTTAGTAGAAGTTTTGCACATGATAATATTGTTCTTTATAGTTTTCTAACTGCTCTTTGTGACTTCTGTCTCTTGGTAGATTGGAAAGGTACAGTACAAACATTAAGTTCTTCTTTGTCTTCTCATGTATTTAAAAGACAGTTGTGTGAACACTTGTAGAGCTTTTCACATATTTGGTCTTGCTCAAAGCCTCATTCTCTTTTAAACCTATAACAGTCTTTAAGTATTTACTGGGTTAAATCTCATCTATTTATTTTTTTTAGTAAGGTGATTCAGCATTGTTTTCTGTATCACTATCCAAAATTTACTTGGTCAAGAGAGCTTTTGGTCTGTTCATGGCCATTTTTTTTTCTGGGTTTAGAAATATTCCTCTGGTCTTTCAACTTGTCATTATTCTAGGGTTATCCATCAATTATCCTGTTACAATTCAGTTTGACCCACAAAGTAGTTGTTTAGTTCTCTAGCCTCCAAATGATTTTGTAACTATATGGGATGACAAATAATTAGTTTCTTTTCAACTGCTCATTTGTAAGCTTCCAGTTATTTGATCTCCTATTCCAAACCCTCATGTTCTGAAGTTGGATATTAAAGATCAAGTTGGTTTCACCTGTTCCTGCATACTTACCCACCTTTTGATTTATGTCTGAGATATATTGCACTTAAGTTTTTCCTCTGTTGGATGTCGCTGCTATTACCCTATTAATTGCACAGCCTTGATTAGGACTCCCTCTTCACTTTCTGAACGATTTGGATATATCTCTTTCTTTTTAAAGTTTATCATGGTTGACTGTTGTCAGAGAAACTGAATTTTTTTTCATACAGTCTTCACATTCCTAGCTTGCTTCTGCCATATTTTCATTCTTCATATTGATTAGTCATAGTGGTAAGTTTATCAGTTTTAGTGAAGCCATTCATGTTGTTTTTCTTCCCCTTACATGACTGACCATTTTCTTACTTGTTAGTGCCCATAAGTATAATTTATCATATGTTTTGGGTTATGCTATGGACATTCTTTGTTTTTGAGTTTTTTTTTACAATTTTCCCTTCTATACCCTCTTGAACATTGTTGTGGCCATAAATTAACCTAACTTTAAATTTTTGGTTCTCTCTATGAAGAATCAACTCCTGTCCTTAGTGGCTATGAGCTTTAATTGTTTGATAATATACACTAGTGATTACTGGAAGCAGAGTTCTTTCCACATTGACACCTAAAAAGTGTGAGCATTTGTTTCTTTTTATTTTTATTTTTGTTAGTTGAAGATGTTTGTTCTTTGAGGTACTATTGTACTCTGACTTCTAAAGTTACTTACTGTTATTAAGGGAAGTTGGCTTAGGATGTTTATTTGAATAGGTTATTTCTAAATTAATGGCAATTTGAAATCAGAATTTTCTTAATGCCACAGCCCATTGAAAACATTATTTGAACTGCTGACTTTACCAAGTAACTTAATCCTCACTTTTGAGTTCACACTGCTTTCGGTTATTATTTGCAGTGTTAATAGAAGTGTTGATCTCAGTTTACTTTCTTTAAGCTTGTCCCAACAGAGTCTCTTCTGTATAGCTGATAGATTCTGCTGTGGGAGTGAACCTTACTTCACAAGTAATACCGAAATATGTGATCTGTGTAAAGTTACCATAAAAAGGATAATAAAAGTCGAATAAATAGTGACTACGATATAGAAGTAAACTTAAAATAGCGTGATATAAACAATATTTGAATATCAGCACAGAAACAATTTCAGTCAATTTTATTATGTAATATTAAAACATTTTGTCCACATTTTAATACATGAATTTTTATTTGAGTGTCTAGACATTGTGTAAAATTGACTGTTTTTTATGACACAGTTTTGAAAATGATTCTTATTCTTTCAGGAGAACCAATTCCATATAAAGATACTGTAAAGAACCAATTTTCTTATGCCCATGATAACTCTCAGAATTATCAGGATGAACTAATAATATCTGTATCTGATGGCAAACATTCTTCAAGCATGACACTTGATATAACAATCTTACCAGTTGATACAGACAGCCCAGCAGTCTTGGATTCAGCGTCTTTAACATTAACTATACCTGAAGGTATGTGTACATGCATAAGTGGTAAGTATTACAGTTAGGTGTATAACCCTGTGTAGTTGACTGTTGCAGAGTGCATTAGTCTTTTAACAGTTCTTTTTGAAACAATGTACTGTAAATAATAACACTATTGAACCACTGTACATATTGGAATAGCTTATTTATTGTTACTGGTAAATAAAAAAAGTATACATTGTATTAAAGTTGAACTAAAAGATATCTTATAATAATGTGTAAGAACAAACTGTAAGAATACAGCGTTGTATTTTGAATTTACTACCTATATCTTCAAAATAAGTAAAACATTTAATAGTGTTTTATGTAGCATTCCAGATCTGAAAAATTAAAAGGCTTCATTTGAAACTGTATTAACATTTCTGTTTATAGGCTTAAATCGATAAGAACATAACAAATACACTGCTCTGTTGTTCTATTCAGATTTCACATATAAATTGTATCCTTTAAACTTTATTTTTCACTATATTTTTTTTTCCATTTAAAACTTTAAATTGTTCATAAGATCAATGTATTCAACTACTTCAAGATCACTTGCCCGGCATGGCCAGGTGGTTAGGGCGCTCGACTCACAATCCGAGGGTCGCGGGTTCGAATCCCAGTCACACCAAACATGCTCGCCCTTTCAGCCGTGGGGGTGTTATAGTGTGACGGTCAATCCCACTATTCGTTGGTAAAAGAGTAGCCCAAGAGTTGGCGGTGGGTGGTGATGACTAGCTGCCTTCCCTCTAGTCTTACACTGCTAAATTAGGGACGGCTAGTGCAGATAGCCCTCATGTAGCTTTGCGCGAAATTCAAAAACAAAAACAAAACAAAATCAAGATCACTTCTGATACTTAAATTAATTTTAAACCATTTTAAAAAAAAGGAAAAGTTTTTTATGCCTTAAATGTCATCTAGGCTACTTATACTGCCTGCTTTATAAATTATTTTTTCACCAAATAAATGTAGCCTAATTCTTAGAAGTCACTTATACTACTAACTGTACCATTGTTTTAAATGTTAGTGTATTTTGGTTCATAGAAATAGCTTATACTACTTAAATTGCCAGTTTTAAGCCTTTTTTTAACTGTAGAAATAACCTATGGTACATTCAAGTACCTGCTGTTAAACCACTTTTTCACACAGTCAGTGTAATGTTTTGTTTTCCCTTTGAGCCCTTTTTAAATTACATAAATTAGCTTCTTATAAGCACTTTTTCACCTGTCTCTGATGGGTCAACAATACATTTAGGTCTTACAACACAAAAATTTAGGGTTTGATTTCTTTTGGAGGACAGAGTGGCAGATAGTCCATTTTGTAGCTTTGCATTAAAACAACTAAACAAACTTTTTCACATTTTAAATGCATTATACACTTTTTTTTATCTCCCATATTACTGAAGTAATTAAATCATTTCTTTCCATGCAACAAAATACATTTTCCTTGTCTTTGGCAAACCTTCTAGTTATGTCCAGAAAAATTATCAGTTTTAAATTGCTTTTTTGTTCAAGTCAAATATCTTACACACTTGAAGTCATCTATACTACACAACTTGCCACACCATTAATGTATTTATCTTCATCAAAGTTGCCTGGTATATACAAAAGTTAACATTGATTTTTTTCCAGTTCAGTGTATTGGACGTTTAAACTAGTGCTATCAACTGCTTAAATTGTTTCTAAGTACAATAGTTGATTATATGAAAAAATAGCTCCTGATCTATGCAAGTTAATTTGGTTAAACAATTTTCTTTTGCAAGGTCAATCCATTGTATTGCAGAGAAGCCACCTAGCTTATGAGGATAGAGATTCTCCTGATAGCCAAATTTCATTTACCTTGACCACAACACCAAAACTTGGAAAGCTGGAGAAGCTGGATCCAGATGGTAATTTTATTACCCTCAAGGAGGGCTACAGTTTAACCCAGCAAGACATTAATGACTTTTCAGTGAGGTTTGTATCATATTATTTTGTTAAAAAACTTACACTACAAATATATGAGTTATCAAAATAATGTTAGTATAGACACAGTTGTTTATAAATAATTAAAATTCCAAAGGCTCATTTCTTCTCTGTTCTTTAGTGGGTCAACAGTAAATTTCTGGGCTCATAATGCTAAAATCTGGAGTTCAATTTCTTCACAATGCTTATAGACCATTGTATAACTTTTGCTAAAAAACAATCCAGTAACAAATAATTTCTTCTGACACCTTTTCTTAATATAATGAGTTGCTGGGAGATTTATTAAATTGTCTTTTTGAAATACTTAGAAATGAAGAGCAACATTAGATTTGAAACTAATGTATTTAATAGGCCTAGCCTAATCTACTCAAACGTTCACTGTGTTACACTGATTTTTTTTACCAGTTCTGTTCATTATATGCCTACGACATTAACTACTTCAAATTGCTTTTAACTGCAGTATATTTTATGTATATGCATTTTGGAAGTTATACATGAAATAAGTTTTTGTATGATACAACCAACTTGTTAAAATAAACCTAGTTCCATAATACCTAGTTTTGTCAAACCTTCAAAGTGATGCTTATATATTAACATGCATATTAAGTGAGGTGGATTTACATGAACCATTTTAGTTTACTGATAACCTTAAAAAAGATTGCACTTGCATAAATGTGTTGTAAACAAATGGATGTATAGCAATTTTAAGGGTAAACCCACATTTACTCAATCTCCATAGCAACTAGAAAACCTGGTATATATGGAAGGAAAGGTACTGTGACTTGTAGTGGTGAAATAAAAGAGTGAATACATGGTGTGAAGTTGAAATAAAAATAAAATGCTATTTATTGGATAAATAAGAAATGGTTATTGCATGTAATATAAAGGGATTAAAAAATTAATTAAATAATTAATAAACTGATAAGTCCATAAAAGAAATTGTATTTGAATAAAAGCAAATGAAAATAAAGTTTACTTGAGAATGAACATATTAAATAAAAACTCATAATCAGCAGACTGAAGGATACAGGACATTAACCCCATTGCATGAGTATCCTTTACTGTGCATGACACAAGGTTTTAGTGTCTTATGTTCAAAATTTTATCAAACTACCATTTATTGGTAGAATAGCATAAAATCCCAGCTAATAATCCATATTTTAATAGTATACAAGTTTTGAGTTCTTAATTCTACAAGGCAATATAAAACAAAATCCAGAATTTCCCCTAGTGTGACCCACATGACACATTTTCTCTTAGCATGTCATCTTCCCTATTTTATCCACCACCCCTCGAACAAGTACAAAATTAAATGTACATTACTCTCTATAAAATCGTCATTGCTCAGACAAACCACAATTTTTATAAGTCTTTAGTTTTGTTTGGTCACAGAGGTATCGAATGGAAAATCAGATTTCTCCTGCCACACCTACCTGTCACATCCTCTCTTTCAAGTTCGTTAATAGTTCTCTCTTATGTTTAATTATATATTACCTATAACCAATAGAAAGTTATGTTCTGAACGATTAAAAGTCAGTTTCACTCAGAGTACCAACATTGTTCCTGTGAGAAAGTTAACGACTAGCTTGGATGAATTTGTAACAACTCTTGTCGCTTAGTTAGAAAGCTAGTAAAATTTTGAGAGGTAAGGAAATTTGTCTACTTTTTGCATGTTATCAGTCTATTCTCTTTGATGCATTATTTAATTAAATAAAAATTATTAAGTGCATTACTATCATTAGTATACAAAAATTAGTGTTAACTCTCTTCAACAATCGATCGCAAGAAAAAAGAAGATTTGTTAAGTATTTAATTTTTTGTTTTTCATGTTTATTCTTTATGTTCTAATTATAAAAGTAACTAAAATGTATAAATAGAGATCATTTTAGGTTAGTTAAGATTAGATTAGGTAAAATAAATAATAATAATAATATTATAATAAAAAATGTTTCATGAGGCACACATCTGAGCAGCTCGTAGTAGCTGGGAAATTTAATTTATTAGCGTAACATGAGCTGCATGTTCCCTGAATGATTTACAACTTATAATGGTGTTGGTAGTAGTTAGACACAGTTCAAAGGGCAGTAAAACAATAAAATTTGATTATAAATAGATATATACTGTTACGAACTTAGGCCTAGTTAGGATAAAGGAATGTAGTTTCAGGTTACAATTTGGAGTCATTCTAGAAAGAAAAAAAAGGGTAATTTAGATTTATTTAGATTTTTTTTTGGTGGTTACAAGGTCAGTCGATTTGACTGATTCCATTTTGAGATAAGGTAGAGAAAATAATAGCTAAACTATAAAGTTTTATTGAAAAAAAAAACGTTTGAAATTCATTTAGGAGGTTTTAGGGATTACAAAGGAAATTTGAGATTTTTTGCGATCAGGAAAATTACTTTGCACATGGACTATTCAAAACAAATGCTCAATATATTCATGGACTAATCTTTATTTTATTTTACTAAAAATATGATTTTTTGTATGTGAAAGACTTATAATATTAACTGAAAGATTGCCAAATGTTGTGAAGATATACACACTATATTAAAAAAATCTTGGAACCTATGATGTTTCCATGAGATCCAGTTTAGTTATAATACTGAGGTACAATTGGGCCTTCATCATTGTTTTTTTTAGTTAACTATGATTGTATTGAAAATGCCCAGTAATGGAAATAAATCATATCCATTAATTTAACTATAAAATACTGTATAACAATAATGAAATAAAATAATTAAAAAAAATGTGGCCAGGTTTTCACTTTCTACCATCCTTGCATAAAATAATAAAAAACATTTTATTGCCTGATGAATTTGGTAAAATTGAAATTCTATTGTAAGTCTGTTAATGCTGTTATTATATATTAAATATATTGTTTATAACTGTCAGAGGGAGCAGGCACTTGGTATCAATTAATATCGTGTGTTCATTTAGTGTGCTTCCTCCTGCACATCCACTGGTAGTTTGCGAAACCATTTATCATCTCTTTTAGATAAAAGGAAAATGCATGAAACTAGTATAATGCAAGAGAGTAGAGGTTTTCTAAGAGTAAATTGCAAGTTAATCAAATAAACCTAAGGAATTAAAATGCATCTTGTACAAGACTTTTATTTGCATATGGAATGGTAATACAAACCTACAGAAACTTATAGAAAGTTTTTGTTTTAATATAGTCCATATTCATAAAGCATCTTCTACCCAAAATAAACATTTAAACTGTCTATAGAGAGTTAAATTAACATTCTGAAAGATTTATCTAACAGATTTCAGGGTCATCACTACTTGTTAACTGTAAGAGTAACTAAAATCATATTTACTTAAGTGTAATAATAACTATTACTAAAATTAAACTAATAACTATAAATACAACTATAACTTAAAAAAAGCATAAGAAACGCTGACCCTTATCTGTCAATTTTATTTGTCCCCAAGCCATAGCTTGGGAAATGAGTGCCATGGTGATGTTGCCATTTGGAAACATCTGTCCTTAATATCCAGTTTTACAATAAGTCTGGTTGGTCAGATACAGACAGAAGGAGATGCTTTGTAAATACAATTTTGACAGTTTTGGACAGATTCTTTTTGAAGTGAGACAAGACAGGACTCATCTGAGACAGCCAGCTTTTTAGTGAAGTTCCATCTTTTTCATACTTCATTTTTATACCATTCTAGCATTTCAATTACTTGTCTGTGAAAGTTTGTTTTTATTTTCTTAACTTAAATAAAGCTTATTATCTGAACATTTTAAATTTTTATTATTTCATCATACTCTTTAATTACCAGCCATCCTAAGTTTATCTTCAATAATAAAGCATTTTATTTTATTTTCAAACTTTATAAACATGTCTTTGCTCTTCCTTTGTCTGACATAAGATTTCACTATACTTGTCCTTCTGCATACTAAATCCTCAAATCTGTAGTTGTTGCAATGCTTGAGTAGTTGTATGCTTGGTTTAACCTTGAAGTTACCATGCATCTATAATATAGCATTTATTCTTTCACCATTAGCTTTTGAATTAGCTGTGCCTTGAAAGCTGTCTAAACCAGCTACAGCTCCTGGTGCTACATCCTTCTACATCCACAGTATAGATGGTAGCATTTATTCTTTCACCATTAGCTTTTGAATTAGCTGTGCCTTGAAAGCTGTCTAAACCAGCTACAGTTCCTGGTGCTACATCCTTCTACATCCACAGTATAGATGGTAGCATTTACTCTTTTGCCGTTAGCTTTTGAATTAGTTGTGCCTTGAAAGCTGTCTTAACCAGCTGCAGTTCCTGGTGCTACATCCTTCTGTGTCAACCAGTCTAACTTAAATGTTTTTCCATATTTAATTCATTTCAGCTACATTCAAATTATTTAAAAATTTAGTAATAATGTAGTATTCAAGGTCATGGTTAAGTACATAGCTATCTGAGAATTGATGTTTTGATCTATCATTTCAAAAGACAGAGAAATAAGACATAAGACACACAGACATATACCCATCATTTAGATGCCTTAGTAGTTATCCAAGTTTATATATTTATCATTTTCTACTGTGGCTGTCACGAGACTTCTTTGTTGGAAGTTCCAGAAGAAACAAAAATGTGGTTGGGTTTTCTACTTATCTTTAAAATGATACTTAAGTGCATACAAGTGAAATGAGTGGATGTGTATAAGATATTTGGTCAGACTTTTTTGATTACTTTGAAAAGTATGAATATATATATATATATAGGATATAG